CTACCTTGAAATAATGATTAATTTAAAGCCATCCTGCTTGCACCATTATATTCTACCATGTTGTTTTTTTTTACTATCTCTCTTTAGGACGTTACTTTTTCACTTTTTGGTACTTTATTTGTGTACCCTTATTGCATGCTTTTAGTATTTCTTGTTAGTTTGTTCTTTGATTTTTTTAGCGAGTCAAATTGGTTCTTCTCTTCCTAAGCATTTCATTGTACTGTTAACCCTGTATTAATTTTGCATATGACAAATAAACACAACTTGACTTGGGAAAAAAAATTGGGTTTGCTAAAAGTCAGTTGTCTGTGACATCTTGAATTGAGTTGAGCCCCACTGTTAATGAGTTGTAAATGTACAGCCAGTAATTATGTTCTGAGCGTTTCACTCCAGGGGTTCATGAGATATTTTACTAACAGACATGCAGTGTTGATTTCAACTGTTAATGCCAAAGTTGGAAACAAATGTTTTCTGCAATTGTGCTCAGAGTGAGGATTACTTAGAGCTATCATACCAAATTTTAACTCAGTATTTGTAAATTAACAGTAATATCCATTTATGTGTTGCTTATTTGGAACAGGGTTGAGCTCAAAAGATGATCACTTGTAAATGTGCATCCAATGTAAATTTTATGAGTTCTTAAATCTATGAAGTCATAAAATGTCTTGCAATGCTAGACAAACACACACACACAAATGTGGACAATAGCATTATCTGGGAGACAAATATTCGGACTTACCCATTGAACAACAATAATAACCATTGATTATAGGAACATGAAGATTGGATGATCATTTAAATTAAAAGTTTGTTGTTTTTTTATTATTATAATTATTATTTCTACGCCACATTTAATTTAATGAAAACATAATTTATGGCTTTTATGGTTCGTTACAAAGGAGTTTGTAAATTTATGTGCAAACAGTGGAGCCTGTTTAATGGGGCATGAGGCTGTTGCAATGTTTCCCATCAATTTTTCATAGCAATATATAAAAACAAAACCACATCTGCAGAGTTAATCCATGTTCACGATTATGTAAAACAAATCAATTACTTTTATTAAACATGCTGCTTCTGAGTCTGAGGTTTGCATCACGGTGGGCTACTGCATGAAACATGGTGGGGAAGAGGGCTATCTGTCATTTTAAGAAACTTGAGATTTTATTTAATAGGTTAGAGTGAGTAATGCTCTGAGACTGTTAGGTTGTTTGGTACAAAAGTGACATAGAATATTAATCTGTTGAGTTCAACCATTAAATCAGAGAAAGTTGGATTAATTAGCATGACTTTCAAAATATTTTCACCCAACCAACGAGAGAGAGAGAGAGAGAGAGAGAGAGAGAGAGAGAGAGAGAGAGAGAGAGAGAGAGAGAGAGAGAGAGAGAGAGAGAGAGAGAGAGAGAGAGAGAGAGAGAGA